GTGTGCGTAGCTTGATTAGCGGCGTAGCGCCGCGGCTTCCGGTGGCGGACGCTACGAAGGTCAAAGCTACAAAGTTCGCACGGTTACGAGGACGACTTTTTAAACAATAAAAAACATGATATTCTCATGCCCCGTTTCAATTTTCACTAAACAAATTTCTTACACTTTTATTCACGGTGTAAACAACTCCCTATACTTTTTATTATTTTCATTCGCATTGCTAACTAAATAGGATGAATATCCTATTGAGATGAAACTTTGGTGAGAAGCAATCCAAAGGAAGACTTGATGAGGCTGTACACGCCGGCATTTACTAGCACATAAATATTCTATAGTAGGAACTTATACTACTAGGGGTGATCCAAAAGTAATGATAATCGGTTACTTCAGGTCCGCATAAAAATCCAAAAAAAATATTTTTTGCTTTCTTACATACTCACTACGTCAACCTAAAAAACTCATATAAATAGATCACGATTTCCGGGAGATACATTCATTTGAATACGAACTGTCAAAGAGACAACATCAACATGGAGAAAAACGAAATTAGAGCTGTCATCAAATACCTCTGTTTAAAAAAATGTCTTCAAAAGACATACACAGTGACTTAGTGGAAACATTGGGAGACTCTGCTCCTCCATATTCTACAGTTGCACGCTGGGCCAAGGAGTTTAAACTGGGCAGAACATCCACTGAAGATAAACATCGCGAAGGACGTCCCATCCACGTCCCTCACTGAAGACAACGTGAAAAAGTCGAAGATTTTGTGTTGGCAGATCGAACAGTGACCATCAGGCATGTAGCTGAGGTCACAGGGATCTCATATGGCAGCATTCAAAGAATCCTTGCGAACGAGTTGCATATGAAAAAGGTCTCGGCGCGATGGGTACCCAGAATGTTAACCGACGAGCAAAAGAAAAATCGAGTTGATATTTCGAGGGTCAATCTTGAAAAGTTCCAACCAGATCAAGAAAATTTTTTGTTCCGTTTTGTGACTATGGACGATACCTGGATCCACCATTTTGATCCTGAAACGAAACAACAATCGATGACTTGGAAGCGAGCCTCCTCACCGACGCCAAAGAAATTCAAAGTTTCAAGTTCGGCGGGAAAGGTTATGGCATCTGTTTTTTGGGACGCTCAAGGCATAATTATGGTGGAATATTTGGAAAAGGGAGCCACTATTACGGGCTCTTACTACGCAGACCAAATAAGAAGATTACGGGAGGCCATGAAGGAAAAAAGAGCGGCAAACTGCGAGCTGGAGTGCTGTTTCACCAAGACAACGCACCGGCTCACAAAGCCGCAGTTGCGATGGCTGCCATTCAAGAAACGGGATTCGAACTGCTCAAACACCCTCCCTATTCGCCAGATCTAGCTCCTAGTGACTTCTACCTCTTTCTTCGGCTCAAGGAACGCCTCCGAGGCAAGAAATTCAAAGACGATAGCGAAGTAATGGCCGCTGTTGAAGCGTTTTGGGAGGGTCAAGACAAAGAATTTTTTTCAAAGGGAATCCTGGGTTTAGAAAAAAGATGGACTAAATGTATTAATTTGTTAGGAGACTATGTAGAAAAATAAATTATTATTTTAACTTTAATTACCGTGTTTTATTTTCATTATCATTACTTTTGGATCACCCCTCGTACGATACCCAAATAGATCAATCAAAGGTACTTTGGTTTGACCCTCAGCATTGATAATGACAACATTTTGACATAATTATGTAACATAGGTAAAAAAATCACGTGTAAGAGCAAAAGCTACCATAGTGAGTATGCCCTCTACAAGATTAAGAAACCAATATCCTAACTTGTGTAACGTTTACGTCTGCTATAATATGCGTAATTAGGTAATTGAAATGCTTATAATACTTCTCTTATTTGAACAAACCCATTTGTCCTGGGCCTAAGTACTTTCTAAAGATGCGGAGATTAGGGATAGATATAGAAATATCATTGCTCAGTGTCCCCCCGTTCGCTTCTAATTTAATATACTCCAAACACTTATTTTATTTGCTGATGTATAACGTGCCGACCTAAGAAGGAAAACACTGTGAGGAAGCCAGAGTGTTTTCGAAATAATAATTAAAAAATATTTATTTTACATATATTTCTGAATTATTGTGAAAGATGTCTGCAAATATATGACGGGGTCTCGTAGAGGACTATACCCTAGTAGAGTCTTATCCGAGTAGTGGGATACATATATTATGCTGCTAGTTAACCTTACAGAAATAAAGGTTAAATTAACTTTTAACTCGACTCGTTTCATTAAAAATTTGACGCATTCCGAGCTAAAGTTAGTGATAAAATCATTAAACCAGCATCCAATCTCAGTAGTCATAGGTTATTCCGTAGTTACACAGTTGAAATCAAGACTGGACCTTTGCAACAACTCGATAATCCAATAAAAAGTTCAGAACGATCGCCAGCGATCAAGGAGCCATTATAAACTAATGTTCGTTGTAAAGCTAAAATATTGCACCGACGAAACTCCGAAAGTTTGAACACTTCTATAGCACTAATTTGTCCCTTCGAAATAGCGGAGCAACGAAAAAGTTCTAATTAGTAGAGACAAAAAAATTGTGCTGTTTTAATCAGTATCATCACTACATAGTATAAAACAAAGTCGTCCCTTGTCTGTCTGTACCTATGTATGCTTAGATCTTTAAAAATATGCCATGGATCTTGATGCGGTTTTTTTTTTACGAGATAGAGTGATTCAAGAGTAAGGTATATATATATATATATATATATATATATATATATATATATATATATATACACCTTACTCTTGAATCACTATATATATATATATATATATATATATATATATATATATATATATATATATATATATATATATATATATATAGTACACCCGTGCGAAGCTGGGGCGGGTCGCTAGTTTATTATATTTGCTCTCATTCGTCGTGAAATACTGTATTCTAAAACAAACTTGACACTGAGCTATCACGGCTTATCTAATGGGTGGATGAAATGACATCCACTTTTCACCAAGACTACTTACCCGCAAATGGGAGATGTGATTTCCACACTACACCGGTCATAAATATGTTCAACGAAAGCATTTATAAAAACGTAATTACACGCTTCACGAAGCGAATACCTTCTAAGCGGGCTTTGGTAGAACAAAATCTTTAACGTGTAAATAAATCACATAAGCCATATCCATTTTTTAAGTCTTATTAAAATCCGTACAGCCGTTGCGAGTGTTACATTATACTGCGTTTAAAGAAATAAACACTCACATTGCCTAAAATAGATAAATAAAAAAATTACACAACTTTATCTAGTAAGTCCCAAACTAAGCAAAGCGTATAGTGCATGCATGTGTAAAATGCTATTATATATTATATACAATGATATGACACTTGCGCACCGATATTGAGACACCGCCGCTATACATACTTGAGAACATTATGTATGTAAGAAATAACATACACCTTTTTACGAAAAAAATATACCACATCGTTTCGAGGCCGTGGTGACACGCTAGAAATACCGAGGTCTAGACTAGCTAAAACCCGGAAATTATTTCTTTGTAGGTGTCTGTATATATCATAAGTGTACAGCGTGTCATTACAACCGCGACAATAAATGAACACACGTCTAACGCTACTTGCCAATAATCATAAAAAAATATAAAACGGTAAAAAAATCCATAATTAAAAAAAATTTTTTTTCAAACAAACTAATTAAGTAAAAAAGAAACAAAATTTGTAACATCCTATTCAACTACAACTGACTAATTCATACATTTAGAGATTTTTCAGTCTTTGCCACAACGTCGCATTATCTAGTATAGTAAAGTAAAGTAAAGTCTCTCCTTCTAACAATCTATGTTTTTAAACGGTTTTAAAAACATAGATTGTTAGAAGTTAGTACGGAATTTGTTTGTTTATTTATTTGGGTCAAAATTAGAAATTGAAATTTAAGCACCTTGCCGTTGTCAGATTGATCTGAAATTTGGTACACACATTTAATTTAGATGACAATACAATATTAACAAAAAAAATTTAACAAAAAAAAAACATAAAATAAAACCGTTTAACTTAAAAGTTTTTTAAAGTAATTATTATTAAACGGTTTTATTTAGCTCGACCCGTACGGAATTTGTTTGTTTGGGTCAAAATTAGAAATTGAAATTTAAGCACCTTGCCGTTGTCAGATTGATCTGAAATTTGGTACACACATTTAATTTAGATGACAATACAATATTAACAAAAAAAAATTTAAAAAAAAAACATAAAATAAAACCGTTTAACTTAAAAGTTTTTAAACGGTTTTATATCTATTTTAAATTCATTCATACATATGCTTTGTGACCTTTACAAATGAACTTTACTTTACAGTTTTATACGTAAAGGTGTTCTAAAAAATTTTGTTTTGTAAAATTTTATAACTCGGTAAATATTGATGTTTAAAGAATGTAAATGCTTAATACAATTTTAAAAAAATATCCTCTGTATGTGTGTTCATTTATTGTTGCGGTCGTAACGACACGTTGTATGTATCATAAATATATGTCTTATATAATAGAATAGGTGACATCCACAAACAATTAAGTGTAAATAATTTCAAACATTTTGTAAACGCTACCTTAATGAAAAGGGCCTATCATAATGTCGAGGAATACATTGAGAACAAGGATGTGTGGAAATGTCTCTTGCTCTGCACTTGCAAGTCCCTTTGCTTATCCATAAATAATTCAAAGAAAAAAATAACTATACGACCGCAAAGTTTCTTGCCGGTTCTTCTCTGGCAGGTCTAGTTTAGTGAACTGACGGTAGTTTCAGACATTCAATATGAGCTTAAAATAAGCCTATGTTGAATATAGAAATTTTGATTTTGACTTTGACAACAAATCCTTATTTTTGTCTAGTTACGTACATAGTGATCTTCTAATAGGAAAAAATTGTGCAAGACGTTAGAGAGTGAACAACAAACGCGAGAATCTGATCACTCTCCGCCGATCCCATGTTAACCGTTAAACCGGCCTCCCGTGAGCGGCTAACCTTGACAAGGACGCACGGGTGCGGTCACCGGTTTCCATACCGTATAACGCGCGCGGTGACCACGAAATTTGGCCCTCTCTGGACCGATCCTAAACAATTATATCGCTTGACCGCATCCTTCCACATCTACGTTACCAAGCAGTGAGACATAGCTAAAAACGCAATAGATAGAACGTAGATGTCGAGATTTTTCGCGCCGTGAGGTCATCGGCCGCTTAGCTTAGCTTAGCTCAGTAAAGCGCCTGGGCTCGAAACAGGAAGACGCAGGTTCGAACCCCACAGCGGCAAAAGTTTTTGTTCATTTATCAGCAATACGTAATATCTAATGAACAACGCCAGCCGACAGAAAAAACTTGAACAGGACTTGGAGACATTTTGCAAGTATTTTCATGAAGTACTTCTGTTTTTAAAATAGAAACAAAGGTTTCCAATCAGTGGCTTTCCTTGGGAAGCCAGTTTATGTTGTTTGAAAACCTTTTTTATTTAAGAGATACAATAAAAAAACCGATTATCCTCAAGTTTTTGTTCCCAACGTGGTGACATTAATTCATCAGCATACGCTGCCATTCATTTTCTTCTTTTGATTCGGCGACTTTTGTGAGGACGCATTCGCCCGTGACATCACGACCTCTATATCAGTGTCGGAACGAGGAGTTCGCAAATTCCGTTTCCGGTGCATCCTCGAATATAATACTTTAATATACCTATTCATCTTTGTCTCATGACACATCTAGGGATATTTTTTAACTTTCTCGTAACGTTTGATTTCGCATAAAATTTAATTAAGGTAAACTGTGGGAGGGTTTTAGATATACTGAATTAGTAGAGTGTATTCAGCCAGTAGAAAGAACAATAACATGAAATGTTTCAACGACACATAGTATGTCAATACACAGTTGTAGTTCAATATACTCGAGCAACCTTCAAATTCCGGTGCCAGCACCAAGGAAATTGTTAATTTTAGTGCTGAATTATCGCGTGCTCAGCGGTGCAGGAACAAATTGTGAGGAAACCTGCATATTTTATCAATAATAATAAAAATCATCCAAATGTATTTGCAGTCCCTTAGACATTCTGTATAGGCTGTCACTTTAATCCTTACACGTAGTAGTATAATCTGCTTTAATTTTTTACTTGTAGCGATTTACGCATTAATGTTGAGATAACGATTTACACTGAGCCAATTGGAACTGTTATACTTCGGCGTTTAGTCTGTTGGGTGAGGTAACGGGGCCCACTTTTTGGGCGGCGGTTATCATTCAATATTAGGGTGAACCGCCAGCTCGTTTGCCGCCGTCTCATATAAAAAAGCCAAAGTTTTCGACGCATACACCGCTAGTTTATCCTAGTTTTACTATGTTAAGTTCTGCACTACTTTCTTGTATCGCTGAAGCGACTACATTTGGTAACTAATGTGATATCTCTATATGGAGAGCACTCCCCGCTGCGATGTAGGCGAGTTTTTACGATCGGAGCATTATGCTGCGACGTCAATAAAATGTTGAGTGCACTCGTGAATCGAAAGGAAACACTATCCGAAGGGTGTCCATAAAATCAACCATCAAATGGCACCATTTACAATGTCTACTTGATATGAACACACACATCTGAATGATGATGAATGACAAAAAACGTTGTTTCACGGTCGTAGAGCCACGCAGCAGCGTCGGCTGTTGCACGAATGGGCAAGCTCGCCCGGGTGAGTACCACGACCTCACAGAAGACCGGCGTAAAGTGGAAGTATAATACTTTCGCGTTTAGTTTGGTGAGTAAGGTGGCCGGAGCCCTATAGGGTAGTTTTTACAAAATGGCAAGTGCGTATTATAATTTCTAAGAATACATTGAAGACAAGAATGTGTGGAAATGATTTGCTCTGCACTTGCAAGAACCCTGGCTGTTGCTGATTTTATACTTAAATAATTTTGTATACCTACTTGGATTTAAAATAAAAATAGAGAGATAACAAGACAGCACAGTTTCCGCCGAATCTTCTCTGGTAAGGTCTAGTTTAGTGAATCGGTGAATTGACGTTCAATCAAAACATAAATTAAGCCTGTGTTTAATGAAGAAATTATTAATTTGTGTTTGACTTTAGTATACATACTGAGATAAATACAAAAAACACTTCAAAACATACATTTATATATATATATATATATATACAAAAAAACTGTCGCACACATTTCCAGGCATCCGCTCTCCTCACAAAAGCGGCGTTGGCGAGCATGGGGGGGTCTGTTGTCGCACCATAGGACACCGGGGTTCGTCCTACATAAAATTCCGTCGCACCCCCGCCCCCTCTTCCCCGAGACACCATCCTGCTGCCCGGGCTCCCCTTGGAGCCTGGCCATTTGTCGCCGACGTTCGGCGGAATTAAAAGCTGCAAAACTGCACAATGCGCTCCGTTTTTTGTTCGAGAGCGAACGCTGCAGTAGCGTTCGGTTAATCGAGAACGCTCGCGCCATTGTGCCAATTTCAACGGAGGGCCACCGTAAACACTCCCAAATGAGAGACGCTATTGATATTATGGAGACGTGGCGCGATTAATAAGTTGATGAATGGTGATCAAATGGCCCATACATAACCGATAGCGGACTATTCATTGATGGCGATTGTAATGTCAATCAGCCTAACATGTTCCACTGCTGGGCAAAGGCCTCCTCTGTACAGAGGGTATCATATTTCCGAAAAAAAAATTTTTTTATTAGTTCAAAAATATGCAGATTTCCTCACGATGTTTTCTTTTACCGTTGAGCACATGATAGGTCAATACTTAAAATTATCAATTTCATTGATGCCGGCACCGGGGATCGAACTCAGGTATATCGAATTAAAGGCGAGCGGACACTGAGCACTGAGCTATCACGGCTCGTGTAAGGTAGAACAAAATATTTTTGGACTGTGTTACTAGCGAGGGTCCGCGATTAAGAAACAAAGTTATATATTATATGTAAAGAAAAATATTGTTTTCTTTTATTTAAATATTTTCTTTGATTTAAATATTTTCGCGCATCGGCCGTTGATAAAATTTATTTTAAAAATTAGGTTTGACGCCGGATTATAACAGAAAAAGAATTAAGCTGTCATATGAAACAATTCATGAAAATAATTTTATTATGGTTGCGTTTTTAAACATTTTATATGTAATATTTTTATGGTTCGGGTTAAAATTAATTTGCGGGTACGAAATCACTTCACAAGACGGAGTGGCAATCTGCACAAGTACAAGAGGTCATTAAATGCAGAAAACTTACGATCGCAGTTCGTAGCAGACTTTGTAGACGAATAAAAATATAATGTTTTATTGTCATGCTTAGGATACTATGCGAAGCGAAAATAAAGTATTCTACAATATACAATACGATTTATATTGTCACTCACGTCCACGACTGCCTCTAACGACGGTTGAAGTAATTGCAGGAGTAAGAAATACATGTGTATGTAACATTGGCCAGATTAAGTAAATCTACTGAAGTGGTATTTCAACAAATAAAAAGTCAATATCTATCTGGAAAGTTATTTACACATTATGACTTCTTGCTGTTGTTCTATGGAAAATCAGTAGCTCTTGCTGTCTACATGTATGGTTTTCAATGCCAATTATACTATTAATCATACATTTAAATGCAATTTTTCTATTAAACTAAATTCAATAGGATGATCTGGAAAATGTAACAAATACGAAGATGCAGTAATAAGGCTGAATTTAATAACTGCACAGATTCATGGCGGTCCTTCTCTGGATTGATTCAAATTGGCGGTCGTAATGGTTTGGAAAACGCTCGTATTCGATAAAGAAATTCCATAGAAGGCTAAAGTAACAGACGCATACGCTGTGCAACGCAACGAAGTGTCGAAGACAGCAGGTGCTCTAAAGGCCCATTTACACGGTGCCAGTTTCTTGCCTGTTGTATACAATTAAATTGAAGCAATAAATGAGTTGCATGGTCTAAACAACAAATGGTCTAAACAATTATTGCGCGCAATTTATTGCATTCAATTATTGCTCTTGTATGTTCAAGAAAATGGCATCGCGTAAATGGGCCTTAACATCCATCTTACAATAGTGAAAGCAGTCTATATCGTTCGCTTGAAGCTTATTTCGATAGAAATCAATATATGCACTAAATATATATATATATATATATATATATATACGTCCATCTATACAAACAGCATAAGTGAGTTCATGTTATTATAATTTACTCAAGATCGTTGTGTCAAATACGAGTGTGGTTCGTTGTTATGTAGTAACCGTTTCAATTATTACCTCTTAGTTCACTCTCGTCACATTCATAATATACAAATGGTCTAACTAAAATGAAAAATTCATCGAATGCATTGTCAAGACAAATATGATTTGTTTTAGATTTACTAAAAAAGTTTTTATAAGAAAATAAATACGTAGTTCTTGATTCAGTTTGGCACTGAGTAGATAGTACACGATATTCATCAGATTGTGGATATATTATGGAAGGACGTAAAAACAGTAAAAATTTGGTATATATAGCAACAGAATTAATGGAAGTTGTACATATGTAGATGAAATATAGACTATCTCTATGTTTATCTCGTCCGTGATTGCTGAATCAGGAATCAATCAATCAGGAACATAACAAAATTATTAGCAGAAACCACTGACGGACAACCAGCTGTCTTTCCCTATTTAACACATGGTTTAGGTTGGTTGGTTTTATTATTGTTTCGCATACAGCATATTTTTTCCGACGTATTCATCTTCGTGATATTTCAGTCAATTTACGCAAAACTTTAATGACCTAAACCTTCCTCACGAATCAATCCGTCTATTTATAAGCGCCGTATGAAAATCCTTTCAACAGATATTTAACGCGTTCAGGCAGACAGGCGGAGGCGGCGGGGGACTGAGTTTTATAATATACCTACTAGCGGACCCAACAGACGTTGTCCTGTACACGTGTCTTAAATCCGACAACTTATAAATAAAAAATAACAAAAAAATCGAATTGTGAATCTAGACACAAAAAATAGCTCGTGTCAGAAAAAATAGCCGTGATAGCTCAGTGTCCGGGCGCTCGCCTTTAATTCAGTATAGTCGAGCAACCTGAGTTCGATCCCCGGTGCCGACATCAATGAAGTTTTTAACTGTAAGTGCTGACTTATCACGTGCTCCGCGGTGAAGGAAAACATCGTGAGGAAACCTGCATATTTTCGATATAATAACAAAAAAAAAATATGTTTCGAAGATATGTGAAGTCCGCCAATCCGCAGTGGGGCCGCGTGGTGGACTATGCCCTGATAACCTCTGTATAGAGGAGGCCTTTGCCCAGCAGTGGGACATGTATAGGCTGTTACTTTACTTTTTTTTTAGACACAAAAAAATTCAATTGGTCCAGTCGTTTAGGAGGAGTTGAGTAACATACACAGGTTTCTGTACGTGAATTATATATACCTACTAGCTGCTGCCCGCGACTAGGTCTGCGTAGAATAAGCTGAAGGCGTAACATTCACGCAGAAAGACAGATATACATAAAAACATGTATATAAATTATAGCCTATGTATTATTCTGATGTATAAGCTATATTATTGTAAAGTTTCATTAAAATCCATTCAGTAGTATTTGCGTGAAGGAGTAACAAACATCCATCCATACAAACTTTCGCCTTATAATATTAGTAAGGATACTAGCGGACCCAACAGACTTTGTCCTGTACACGTGTCATAAATCCGACAACAACTTATAAAAAAAAACACCGAATTGTGAATCTAGAATAGAATTTCATGTCGTGATATTCACATACAGTAGAATTATATTTATAAAGATAGTAATTAGACGGATGGAATGTCGATCTAACAACAATCCTCGCGAGTGCACCGTGTCCAGGACACCCACGTTGCGTTACGGCGGTAGATAGGAATCGGAGTGGCTCAGCGCGTGACGGGATATCGACCCGGGCTATTTATAAGCGGCGCTGGCGGCCCCGCGCAGTAGGCCCATCACGAGATGTCGCAACGACGATCACAATCCAACGCTGATCACACTTCGAGCCTTTTACAAAGGATTGCAATCAAATGTTATTCTTTATTTCAGTCATGTACAAAATATATAAAATTCTGGTGTCACGGTGTTTGTAATTTAAATCCTCCGAAACGGCTCGACCAATTTTGTGTGCATATCGGCCAGGGTGGAAAATCGGACGACATAGTATTTTTCATTCCCCTAAACGTTAAGGGTGGTCCAACCCAAACATTTTTTTCTATCCTACAAATAATTTATATGGCAAAACAACGTTTGCCGGGTCAGCTAGTCTATCTATATATTGATACGTGAAGCATAAACTTTGTACCCGTTTTTACGAAAATTGCGCGGAAAGAGGAGTCTGAAGTAGTTACCACACCTATAGTTTATATAGCGAAGGAGTACAGAATTGATGATGATAGGCTTCGGCGTCGGAGGTCGTGGGTTGGATTCCCACACGGCACAACTATTTGTGCGACCCACATAGTTGTTTCGCATCCGGATGTTTGTCCATGTGAAATGTGTGTTTGTAAAACGTCCTTACAACACAGGGTAATGTTATCCTAAAGTGAGGGCAATGTTTTTATAAAAAAAAGGAATTTGAATATTTTTAAAATTAGGCATAAAAAATACATTTAATCATTAAAAAAACATTACACACACTACTAATCAATTATGGTCGAATTTCGATCTCTAGACGACCACTAGGATCAATTATTATGCTTCATATAAATATATTGAAGAGCTGTAAAGTGAAAATATCAATATATAGGCACAGCTTAATTGTTCTGAAGGGGCAAGACTTTGTTCGCTTACAATATAAATGATAGTAATAATTTTAATTTTAGTAATAAATTTAAAATAATTAAAACATTAATATTTAACCGCAACTCCTTGGCGGTCATCTTCTGGACTGGTCTTGATTTGTGGGTTTCTAAGTAAAATTTAAATAAATCTACTATATTTATATAATAAGATAATATATTGTTTACTTTTACTAAACAGAGGTTTAATAAACTAGGGTAGGATCATAGGTAGGATCATCACGGGTCAGAAACGTGCTTGATTTCCAAAGGTTAATTACCTAAATAAATAACAGTCAAAAGTACCACAAGTACCAGGACCAAGGGGTACTAAGAAACAGACAGACAAACATGACAACAATATAGATTTAGTTTAGACCGTCTACCGAATCATAAAGGCTGATTGATACCTATTTGCTAACTGCGTGCGGTATAAAATTTAATTTAAATACCTCTTATGTTTTAATAATAAATATGCAATTTAGGTAAACATTTTTTCGTAAGATTTACCTAATTCAGACGAAAATATAATATTAACATCAAAAGAGAATTGCCGCTAGGCTAGCTGCTTGAGGAAGCCCACGCGGCGGGGGCTCTGGCATGTCGTCGCGTCACACAAGTGAATGAATAATGAATTGTAACAACATTAATCAAGGCCCTTGTTTCCCTAATTAGTGTTACCCGCGCCCCGACCTCGTCTTTGAGCTGAAATGCCTTTTTACCTATACGTAGGCTTCAGCTTGTTTACGCATTAAAAAGGGTTCCGTACGATTATCTATAAAAACGGCAAAAAAATCATGTCTCTTGAATGGGAGCCCCACTTAAATATAATTTTTCTGTTTCTTAGTATTTGTTATTATAGCGGCAAAAAAATACATCATCTGTGAAAAAGTGCAACTGTTACGGTTCATGCCTGGTGACAGACGGACAGACAGACATCGGAGTCTTAGTAATAGGTTCCCGTTTTACTCTTTGGGTACGAAATCCTAAAAAGTAACGGCCTATATTGCTACTGGTGGGCAAATGCCTCCTGTGTGCAGTGGTATCATCAACGCGGTTTCGCAGACTTCACATATCTTAGAAATATATATTTTTTTCTTTTTATATCTAAAAAACGCAGGTTTCCTCATGGTGTTGGGCATGTGATTAGTCAGTAATTGGAATTGCAATAAAAATTTCATTAGTGCCGGTACAAGAAGGCGTCTCGTTTCGGCGTATGGGGCCGTGGGTTCGATTCCCACACGAGACAACTATTTGTGCAACCCACAGATAGTTGTTTCGCATCTGGCTGTTTGTCCGCGTGAAATTTATGTTTGTAAAACGTCCTTGCAACACAGGATAATGTTATCCTAAAGTAAGGGCAACGTTTTTTTTTTAAAAAAAAGGAATTGAAGTCAGGTTGGTCGAGTATTGTGAACTAAAAGCGAACGCCATTGCAAAGGTTGTTTGGAAACATTTCTATGCCTATATTTGTGACTAGTCTTGATTTCTGTTTGAACGCCATTTTCGGCCACCACGTTCAATATAAAATTATTCAGTATCTATGGAGGTTGGTCGCATGAAAGGTGCGTTCATGACATATACAATAAATCCAATGCCCAAAGCCCACGGTTTGTGACTTCGGCGAAGCGGAAAACATCAATCTCTTACCCAAATGGACGCATTGTTGAACACTTGACTTCTAATTCGTGGACAGGAAGCCTAATCGGACCTCTAATGTTTCCGGCATGACCCTGGATTAAATTTAACTGCCCCTTTTTTTAAAAAAGGAATATAATAAAAAAAAACATTTCGGTTACGGTGACAGTTCGAATTGTTAAATCGAAGTATAGATTGTAGATATGATGAATAGGATAGTGTTTGTTTTTTATGTATGAAAGTGGCATGCGAGCTGGCGGTTCGGCTGATGTTAAGTTATAAATGCCTCCCATGAACATTTGCAGCATGGCAGTAGTAATAAAGTGGGCCCCGACTACCTCACTCACCAGACGAAACGCAGAAGTACAACACTTCCGTCGTGGTACTTACCCGGACGGAACTGTCTATTCGTGCAACAGCGAAGACTGTTGCGTGGCCCTACCACAGCTAAAATTCGCTTCGATCGCTGTACAAGTTAAATTATGCCTCATCCCTGAGCCTGAAGCCGGAATAATAACTGGGGTTCGCGACGGGTCCGCGTACCGGGAGTCCCTTTTAATATTACAGGGGCTGTTTGCGAACCGCCCTTTTGGCTAAACGCTAAGCGCGTTAGAAAGAGGTAATGCCCGTTACACCACCGTTAAGAGGATTTGCGTTGGCTTTATGTTTCACGTTATGGGGCAACGTGAAAAATCGTACGGTAAATATAAGAGATCAATAGAATAATCTCGGCGTATTAAATAGATGACAGCTTCTATTACCGCTACTGAATACAAACTAATATTGTTTCGTAAGAACTTGTACATATATTATTGATTGCGATCAAACTTTTAAATTAGCAACACAAGTACATGGAATTGATGAAATGCCAATATACTGTTTTAATGGAACATGTTTTATTCGCTATTATAATTTTTTCATAATATGGCGTCTGGTTGTCGCTATACTAAAACTTTGACGTCTGTCATGTCTTTAGAGTCACGCAAGATAAAGTTACTGCTATTAAACACACTACCTTCCTATGCGTCGCGCTTTCGGGTAATCTACAAAGTTTAGAGTAGATCTGACAAGTAGACTTCTTCTTGTCAGATCTACTCTGAACTGGTTTCAAATTATTTTTGAAATTATAGAACCGTTGCCACCAGGATTCGAAGCAGCTCTTCTGAGTCTCCTCGAGATAGTCTCGCCACTAAGCTAAGCGCTTAAAGTTCGAATTCTGACGACTGTGAAATTTTATGCGACAGTTTCATCTATACATTTCTAAATTTCATCACAGTTGCTAGCACTAAAAATTAAACCGGTGCTGGTTTTTGAGCTTGGAGACCCCTGCCTGGTATTCGAACTGACAACAGTGGTAAGCTACTGCATCGGCCCAAATCTTGAGAACGGATAACCGACAAGGAAAGTTCCTTCCGTTTCTTCAGAGCCACAGCACTCGTCAGCGGGCTGCCGATTCCAACTAATCGCGGAGCATCATGGCCTCATCAATCAAACTCTTTGTGTAACTCGATGTACGGGGCGATAATTAATCCCCCGCCCCTCTCTTCCCCTACCCCTCCCCCGTTAACCCCTGTAACACGGCCGCCGACAACTCAACCGTCCTTCCCGTCGGCACAGGATTGACGCACGTGTTCTTTAAAACAATAAATTCTTAGCGGTCGGAATTGTTTTGCTCAAAACTGCACCGAGATATATGGCTTCTGTTACGTTGTTGTGAAACGCAAAAGAAAACCGCTTTGTGAAATATAATTCGGTACTGTTGAATCGTAACCGCCGTAAAGATTGATCGTTAAACATAATTTGAAAACATAAAAAAAAAAATCGTGGTTTAAGTAATGACAAGATACGAATGCATAGATGTAAAACCTGAACGGTACGGAAGACCGATCGGGAATTGCGGTTACCTGAAACAAAAATAAATCATCATTAAAGTTACGGTCCCAAACAGAAGTGGTGAGTGGCAAAAGTCTTAAATTATAAGAGTTATTATAACTCAACTCGCTCTTCTGTGTGGGCGTAAGAAATATAATTCCAAGAACTCTACTAGCCAAAGATAATATTATATAAAGTAAAGTTTGATTTCCAATGATTGATTTACATACGTTCGCGTAGGCGTTGACTTCAGAACTGCCGAACTGCCTACACTAATACTCGATGCAGAAAGAAAAAATTAGGGGCGCCCCGCTTTTGAGAGTTATGATGAATTATTTCAGTCAATGCCAATTATAACATTACCATCTATCTTCATATTTCTTTGGCCTAGTGTAGCCCTTCATAGTATTAAAGCGTAAAAAGTCTTAATTCCTTATAGGGACGCTAATTTCATTGAAAATGAGATGAACTGGAGGAAAATACCATAAATTATCTCTGCCTTTTCCGATTAAAAAGTGCTTATATTATAGCCTCATATCGCAGACATAGCTTATCCCGTTTTCTTTTGAAGTCGTTGAAGTTTAAAAACCTTATTACTTTGATCTTCTTTTCCGCATATATTCAATCTACTAACTAACCTTAAATAAACTTGTGCGTCGAAGCGAATTTTATGAACGGTAATACGATTATAACTAGATTAATATTTGATGACTCCGAGGCGCAGTTGCCAAGGTATTGGCTTCGGCGTCGGGGTTCGTGGGTTCAATTCCCACACGAGACAACTATTTGTGTGACCCACAGATGTTTCGGATCTGGGTGTTTGTCCGAGTGAAATTTATGTTTGTAAGACGTCCTTTAACAACACAGGATAATGTTATCCATGTTTTTTTTTTTAAAGCATTATATTAAAAGAAACTTTGCGAACATCGCTTGATGATAGCGTAGATGCGAATTAGATTTAACGGCGAACAAGGCACACTCTGGATGTTCAACATCCATTATAGGTTTACGTTAAAATGGGCTTATTTAGAGTAACTGGTAAAAGGGTTGTTACGGGAACCCGTTAAGTGCTTCCCACTATGAGATAAATTTGACTACCGTAATGAACTTAGCATTTCACAAGCGCTGCGTGAAATAGTCGGAAAAGATATAAGTGGTGGAGACTATGTGAAAAAATTTTAATAAGTTATTTGCCAAGAGAACAATGTTATTCATTTCTTTATTTTACGCGAATATTATACATATTAAATGAAACTAGTTTACGGATTTTGTAATGTCCGACGTTTCGAACCCTTTCCAGCATTCATGATCACGGGACCATTATAATGTTGCCAATTTTTATTTGATTATTATAAGACACAACAACAAAAGGCGAAATAGGACATGTCGTACGCGCTCCGTGCCAATAGGAGAGGCGATTTCGCAAATTAGTAGAACGTATTTCCTAATGAAGCGACGTCCGTCGACCTACGTAAGCGACGCAAGCGCAACGAACATTCTCGAATGCGATAAACCGGTTAAAACGTATAGGAGAGACTGTTGTTATGTGTCTAGACATTACTCAGTGGTCCTTTAAACTACCATACTATTGTGGTAGGGCCACGCAGCAGCCTCGGTTGCACGAATGGGCAGGCTCGTCGGGGTAAGTACCACGACCTCACGGAAGACCCGCGTGAAGTATAACAAATAAAAATAATAAATGAAGAAAGATATCACGTAATGGTTCTTAATTTCAGAAATAAAACTGGATTATGCTTTACACTTGTATTTAAAGATGATATTCTAAAAATTTTAAGATTCTTTGTAGGAACTAAAAAATACACGTGATTATACAGGATTATACGTATAAGACTACCCCTGTCTTAAGCCTCACCAGGTATCACCAAGGACTAGAGGGGTTAAAAATGCTAAGAAAACATCACATGATTAATGGACGACCCTTTTCCTCGCGATGTTTCTCTTCACCGCTGAGGATGTGATAAGTTAGCAATTAAAATTAGCTCGAGTTAATTAAAAGGGAGCGGGAAATGTACTATCGCATCATTCAGCATCCAACCATCGTCGGACTTCTCGGTGGATGGATGCATGATCTTTAATGAATAATGTTTTCCTTTTCAGGCCTGCAGTTTATCTAAATGCTTCATCGTTGAACGACTGGATTTGAACTTATTTCATAAACATGGATAGAAATCGTAGGAACAATGATAAATTATCAGGAGTAGAGTGATTTCCACGACTTAAATTAAACAAAAAATGTGACCCAAATGTGACCCAGGGTTTTTTTAACTAAATGGAATAGCTGATTAAAATAATCAAAAATGCAAATTTATGTACGTAATGCATTTAGTCAGTTCTGTGCTATGTTTTGCTGTTATCTTATACCATTGAATAATTTAATTAAAGATAATTTACCAAAACCAAACCGTGCAAATAAAAACAGACAAGAAAGCCAGCTATTAAAAAAAATCATTTCTGTCATAAAAAAAAGGAAAAAGGTACCCATTGCTGCCAATATATTAGAACCCTTACACTCGATAATATCATGCGCTAACGACCGTCGTTGAGAATATCAGGTCGTAACTATGAAATCACTTCTATTTTATAGCCTTAATTACCTCAATTGCCATATATGTACTACAAAATTAATAGCATTCATTGTGTAATCTGTAAACCTGTTGTATTACATTAAATAAATTCTGTTTTCTTTATCTTATCTGTACCAGTTTTATAAATTTTATATTTTTTATTACAATTGTTATTTATGTATTTAACTTTTATTACGAATCCTTTTTCATTTGATATTTTTAATGAAAAATAATTTGTAATAAAATTTAAGGCTAATTAGAACTGCATTAGAAGCTTTTCGAAGGCGAAATCATCCGCACCTGTCTTTTTGTTGACAAAGTCAAAGTTAATTCACATATTATGCCTTTTTTTAAGCTCTTACTGAACGTCAAAAAAAACTACCATCGACTCTCTAATAAAGACTTGTTCACAGAAGAACCGGCAAGAAACTGCATTCATGTTCTCTTGTTGTAGCTAGAGCTCGGAGCGTGGCGGAATCCCCGCTTCGGCGTATGTATCCAAGATCGCGACCGGGCGGCGGGAACAGGGCGGACGTGGCTCAACGCAACTTCCTCCGCTCCAAATAGACGCCGATCGAGTAGCACACTGAGCGAGGAAATGGGGGTCAGAGGCGCGTCCCGGTTGGCGCCAATGGAACAGGTGAATTGAACGGGTTTTTTTTATGGAGGAGGGGGGGGGGGGGGGGGGGGGGGGGGGGGGGGGGGGCAAACGAGCAGGAGGTTCACCTGATGGTAGGTGACGGTTGAATAGGTGACATCAACCAACAATTAAGTGTAAGCAACATCAAACATTTTGTAAAAACTATGTACACTGATGGAAAGGGCCTATTATAATGTCGAAGAATGCATTGAGGACATGTGTGAAAATTACTCCTGCTCTGCACTTTGAGAGTCCCTGGCTGCTACTGATTTTATCCTTATATATACTTTTGTGTATTTATATATTTACAAAAAAAAAGAAAAGAAAAAAGATTAGACCACAGAATTACTTGTCGGTTCTTCTCTGTACAGGTTTAGTTTAGTGAACCGATGGTAGTTTGACGTTCAGTAAGATCTTAAAATAAGCCTATATTGAATAAAGAAAGAACAATGCCCATTTTTGACCTGATTGTGTATAGAAGTGAAATAAATATTAAAATTTAGCTAATTTCATTTTATAGTAATTACACTAATCACAATGTTAAAAGAAGGTCGGGGAAAAAATACTTTTTGATATTTCTTTACGCTTATTTTACTTCAAGGGTAAACATATTACCATGTTTTGAACGCACCTTAACAATCCTTTGCTTAGGACGTTCCATTTCTAACACTACCTACTTGACTATATTCAACTTTTTCTGAGTTTTGTACGTGATTTTACGTTTTAGAGAAGTGAGTAAGCACGTAATTGACAGTATTCGTATAAAAATTAAGATCAATCTTATTAGTAGTACAGATTTATTAAAAATAAAATAATAAATTATTAATGCGGCATGTAATAAAGTTCGCACGGCTGACGTAAATGGATTTTTTTGACATTTGACAGTTCTGCGAGTGACTCATACTCATCGGTATTCGCCAGTAATTGTGAGTATTTATGTTTATTATTTTCAGTCTAAAAATGTCAATCATATCCTAATTAAACTAACAAAGCTCCTATAAATTATACCTGTGACAACACAAACAAATGTTCAAAAGATCTATATATCCAAAATATGTATTATAAACTCAATGTATGTTTTTTTATTTCAGATTACTGAGGAAGATTACATTTGTAAATCTTGTAATGAACTCTTTATGAGAATAATAAACCAGGAATTAACAAGCTGTGATGTTTCTCAAGCTTCAGGATTATCTCAACCAGGCCAAAGAACAGTTTTTGATAATCCTTCAGAAAAGCAAAGACAGATAAATGCTATTATACAAACAAGTTCACAACATCACATATTCATGTTCCTACATTGTTAATCATTTGCCAGTATAAAACTTGATACTATTACTCTAGATTATTTCTCTTTTGTATTTTAGATGTAAATTATTATATCTGTTATTAATTGACTGATGCTTTAATAATTTTAACCACAAATAATAAATAATCGATTTTTTTAAATATATTTTTAAGATGAATAATAATTATTGCTTTATTACTTCTTTTGTAGATATCATCATCTGATAGAATATGCCATTCATGCTGGATGAGTTGTAAGAGTGCTGCCACACATATTAGGCATGTTGCTGAAGTTTGTGGTGTTTCTACTACTGAAGATAATTTATTTTTTATGTTTCTGAGATTAAGTTATTAGTGAACTTATACTATTTGCGTTAGGTACCAAATAAGACAAGCCAAATCCTATTATGGCGAACATATTCGCTTTCATGGATCATATAGAATAGAAATATGTAGGGATACGGGAGTTTTCTAGGAATAATCTGAGTGGAAGTGGTGACATAACACTAATAAGAGGAAAAATTAAGTCCTGGCACATTTAAAGAAATGATAATATTGTTTATATTATGTTTAATATACAATATAATATTGTTTATATTATGTCTACATTTTAATAGAAAATAATGTGTCTGGCAGAGCTAGTATAGTCGAATACTGTTGTAATTGTTTAGTTAGTCGAACCATAGGATGTTGCACTCATGTTATGACTAGTGTGGTACTTTGGATGAACTATCAAGAAAATATCTCTGTTATAGCAGAATTTCTGGATACCATAGTTATAAGACATTTAAGTGAAGATGATGATAATTAATAAAGCATTCCACTGTAACATAGTGTTTTATTTTTTCCCTCGTTTTATTCATCAGGTATTATAATTATCGATTATTATGTATTGTAGTGCAGGCCAATAAAATGTGTAGGGCAGATAAATGATCACTTTTAACTTACGTTTTTTAAGTAAGTACTTATGTGAGCTGTTGAAATAGCGGATAATGCTCTTCACTCAATTTATAGTGACGATAATCGAGTCTAAGTAGTGACGTAAGGGGCAGTCGGTTTCTATGAATTCACAAGTAAAAAAGTCGTTTTAGACCTTAGATAGGCTAATATTATTATTTTAGAATAAACTTGAGCGTAAATAGTAAGTTCTAGCACATTTATTTCGTTATATTAGGTAACTGCAAATCCTAACCTAAAAAGTAAAGTTTTTTAATAATTTTTGGACTTCGTAGACCAGCAATCGTAAAAATGACTATATGATATTAATTTACTAACTTAAAGGTAGTCTTTCTGCTATACCTTGTAACTATACATACACTCTCATTATCAGGTTTTTAAATGTATGGGAAGTGGGCATTGTTCTTTCGACTTTGACTTTGAACTCTAAAATGCGAGTGATATATCCGAATCACCTTGGCGGATCAGTTGCTAAGCTATTGGCTTCAGCGTCGCCGTCTTGGATCGTTGGTTCAATTCCGACACGGGACAAGTATTTCTGTGACCCACAGATAATGTTCCTTCGGAACGAACACCCAGATCCGGTGTTTGTTCCAAAAGATGGTTGACGTTAGGCAGGCGGCGCGTGGTAAAAAACCTAGCCAAAACCACTTAAAACGTGATTCACGCGTTTTGCCGACGCCACATTGGTGTGATAAGGGCTAAGGTGGATGATGAAGGAGTTGGATATCTCAATAAATTTGACATTATTATATGAACGTAACGATACAATACAAAAAGACGCTACTAAGCAGCCCGACATGTAAAATTAGGGAGTGTGTTGACAATAACATCCACAAATAAGTTTATTACTTTTAGTATATATTACTTTATACTATTATTGAACTGTACCTCAATTCGTCACAGCAAAAATTTATTTCACTCATTCCTACTTATTACTAGCGATCCTTTATTCATTCGTCGTTACATTTAGGACGAACGTACGCCTAAATAAGATTTGCAAATTTCATTTTGGCGCGCGGAAAGTAATAAAATCACGGGCACTTAGCAACACCCAGGGAGCGAGGCTTTTTCTTCTTTTCACCTAAAATAATTTTCCAAGTTACCGGGATCGTAAAAAGGTCGAAGATTTCCACGGATTAGTATCCACTCAACATTGATTCCACAAAATCTGCTAAGATACAAAGACACAATAGCGTCAACTTCGGCTTGACTTAATACTTTATATAAGTGATCTCGGATCAGATATGAAGTAAAAATACATACGCGTTTTTTTTAAATCGATCCATGATTTAATATATTTCTTATATATTTACAGTTTTTAGTTAAAAAAATAATTTAGTTTAGCTTAATTGTATTATTAATATCTTTTGGACATTTGACATGCTGTTAAAAACAGCTAAATAGCTTAGCTCGACATTGCGACGACACCAAGAACAAAATATTTCTGTACCTATTTACTAGCAAACAAAGAATTTTGATTTGATTTGATTAGAAAAGTGTTAAGCAAAATTTCGGAGCATTACATTGATAGTTCGTCATTTAAAACGAGTCTTTAACAATTCCCGATTATTCAAAGAGAAACGCATAAGGCACCACGAGCAGGTCTCCCTCCCATCCTCGCCCACCTGGGAGAGCATACATTTGTCGTGTGTGCGGTCGGGGGATACTCTCTAGCGCAGGCCTGTTCAGCTACGAACGCAGGTGTCGTCACCGTGATGCTGCTTAAAACATCTGACACAGATGAAAAGGGCCTGTGTGTATTTTACATACAGACCTTTTAACGGTGGTATTTTTAATGGTGGTAGGGCCACGCAGCAGCCTCGGCTGTTGCACGAATAGGCAGGCCCGTCCGGGTAAGTGTAAGTACCACGACCTCACAGAAGACCAGCGTAAAGTGGAAGTATGAAAAATACTTTCGCGTTTCGTCTGGTAAGTGGGGTAGCCAGAGCCCAATTTTTTGGTAACTTTTCACATAAAAAAACATTAATTAGAATCCTTACATTCCATACATTGCTTGAATTCCTTGAATTTTACGCAGCAGCAAATGCTGCAGCTAGAATGTGCTAGCTCAAGAGTGAGATAACAAAAGGGCCGACTTAAAAATTGGCGAAAAACCTGCAACAGCTTTGACGTTGCGGGAGCCCATGTGCCAAGAAAACCACTTGCTTGGTCTCTTTAAAAAGTAGAAAAAAAATCGTACGGTTTTTTTTTCTGAGGAAGCAGCAAGCGACCTGGAGCTTCACATTATTTATTTATTTATTTATTTTAAGACTTCATGCACATAACTATGTACATAGGCGGACTTAATGCTGTCAGCATTTTCTACCAGTCAACCTTAGGGTGGTACCGAGATTTTGAGGTAGGTGCACAAACATTTAAAATATAAATATTTTACTAATTACACATAAATATATACATAATACAATACAATTAAATAAAAGTTTACATAATAAATATATATATATACTGTACTATAAATATATACATATACATAAATATATACACAAATACGCATACATATTTTTATCTGATGATATCATGAAACTGCTGGCAGCTTTCCCAAAATGTATTTCCGTGCCATTCTCTTAAAAGCAAGGCGATTCTTAGCCATTCTGATTTTGGGAGGAAGCTCATTCCAAAGAAGGATAGATTGAACAAAGAAAGAGGAATGGATAAAATCAGACTGATGAGGAGGACAGAACAGAAGGCGATTGTGTTTAGAGCGAAGATTTTTGGTGTTGACTGAACTAAGGTATTGG